CTAGTATATATGTCTTATTTCCCTACTGGGAGATCGTATGTACCTCTTCCTAGTTACACAGTTTTGGTACATAGTAAAGAAACAATTCTATTTTATTAATAAGCCTTTATTTTGGGATTAAAGATTGAATTTCTGTAGTTTGACCATCATAAAAATATCTCTTCTGGCAGTTTTACTAAAATCTGATTTATAGGTTAGAGAAAGACTTGATGTACTTCACTTCACTTTAAAGGAATTAAGATTTCATTTAAATCCATTCCCAGGTTTCAAAGACTAAGAGGAGGCTTGGTTTTTGTCTCCTTTTTACTAATCTTTTCTGATCAGTCTCCTTGATTTTCCTTAGGCACTCAGAAAACATTCTAATATTTATAACTTTTTCTTCCAACATTTTCTTATGAAATACTTTCAAATATAAAATTGAAAAAATTTCATTGAAAACATGCAAACCTACTACCTAGATTCTGTCATTATCATTTTATTATACTTGCATTATTTACAACTTTTAAAAGATGCTTTTTAGACTGGGGAACATTTTAGTTTACATTTCACGAAGAAAATACCAAAGATACTTTGCCTAATGTTGTAAAGGGTTGCAGTAGAGAAGTGCTTCTTGTACTTCCATATGCATACATATCAACTGGGTTTATTAAAATCCAGATTCTCGTTCAGATTAGAATTAATTCATTAATTAATTTAGGTTGAGACCTGTGATTCTAAGTTTCTAACAAGTTCCCAGGTGATGCTGGTTTTGGTGCAGAGTCCATCCACACTTTGAGTAGAAAGGCAGTAAAGAATAGTAAGAGGAGTCGTCTTGTTATTCCCACAGTGTTGCTCTCTACTTCTCATTTGATAAGTCTAGAAGAACTGTGTCTCCATTTTTTGTTGTATGATTACTACCTCAGAAATATTAATTTATTCTTGCTGTTTGACATTAATACTTAAATATAACACAACATTCATATTTGATCAGAAAACTACATGGCAGTTCCTTTTAAAATAGATTTTTAGGTTTTATACTGTTTTGTGGCCTTGGGGTTTTTTTTGTTTTGTTTTGTTTGATTTTTTTGAAGATGTATGATACGTAAGTAGATTTACTTACATTTGCTTTGTACATATTTATGTGGACCATCTAATTAGAATATAGAGGACTGTAATATAAAAGAATACTTGTACATCTTAACCTATCACTTAGCCTTTCTTATATCCTGTCTTATTGGTGTTTTTATGTAATTTATGTTGCTAAGCTATAACTTAGATATTTAATTTCTGTTCTTTGATTTCTTTTATTATTAAGTGGACTTGATTTTCTTAGAAATTAATTTGCCTTTGAAGAGTTTATTCATCTTCCTTTGTTGAAATTAATATTTGCATGCTTTTGGAAGACTTTAAAGAGCTAGTTCAAGTAACTGTAGAGATTATAAAATGAAATATGTAAATTTTGATAAACTTTACATCTCTAGTTTGTGAAGCCCTACTTTCTACAGAGTATTTTGTTACTCATCTGTTTGGTTTATTTCTTATTTAAGCAAAATTAGTGTGTATTCTTATTTTATCAGCAGTTTGTTTTGTACTGTAATTTTTGATCTTGATCATGAGCCTAAAACACAAACATCGAAAAGAATGATACTCAAGTTATAGAAAGAGAACATTCATTTAGAAGTTCTTGTCAATATAAATCAGGGGGTGGCAGACTTTTTTTGTAAAGGGCCAATGCCTAAATATTTTAGG